CAATGTAAAAATGTATTGAGTTTGTTGGGAACAGTGATGGTTATAAGGTCTTACAGCTGCTCGTAGAAAGGATCTGTGATAACGCTCCCTGGTGCATTTAGGGTGCAGCCATCTGTCACTGAAGGAGCTTTCCAGTTTAGCATCAGCTTCATGCATGGGGTGGTAGATATTATCCAACAGAGATGTTATTTTAGTTAAGGGTCCTTTTGTTTCCCACCTCCTGCACTGTGTCCAGAGGGCATCCAATCACAAAGCTGGTCTTCCTGATCAGCTTATCCAGCCACTTCCTCTCAGCTACAGATAAGCCACAGCTCCAACAGACAGCTCCATAGAAGATGGCTAATGCCACCACAGAATCAAAGAAGGTTTTTGGAAGAAATCCAACCGTCTAAAAGTGGTGTCAGCTGGAACAAAAGTCATAGCAATTTGAGGTTGTGTGTTACTGAGCAGCTTGGTCACCTCTTAGCCTTTAATGTGGTATTGGGCTAGCCTAGAGCATCTGGTTACTCCACCTTGGTGCTCTTACAGGCATGTGGATATGAAGAAGATGTGACAGGTGCAAGGGTCTCAGTCTAAGTAAAAACCTTGAAAGTAAGTTATCAAATTTTAATGTCACCCTGGAAACAAACAGGAACCTGATGAGCAAGAGAGAACTGGACAGAACAGATGATATTGTTTAGGTAAATTAGTTAGCTGTTGTATTCTGAAATAGATCTTAATATCCTAGTAAAGCTGGGCATACACTGTACAATATTTTCAATCATTGTACTTTACTCAGCTACAGCTCAAACTGTATGAGAAACTGCAGGGTTTAAAAGTTAACAACTCACGATGTATTTTCTTACACTGTACGGCCCGGCGCTCTGATGCGATCTACCTGCTCACACTGTACGTCCAAATACCACATATTGGATTCAGCACCGAGAGATGGTGCTGGTCGGACTCTTAAATCAGTCCGACCAGCAAACAAGGGAAGAAGAACTCCCTTGTTTGCACATGCGCAGTGCATGAGGTTCTGGTACATCGGCTCGTAGCTCTGCTTCAACAGCAGGATCCACATACGAACAACTTACGAGGGCCGACTGAATTTCAGACATCTTTGATTTTCTCCCGACCTTACGATTCCTGACGGGGAGGTAGTCGCGAGAGGCTGATTGTTCCTTGTTACCCCCGTATACTACACGAAGCAGGATGCACGATGAGGTTGAAACTCAACCCGATTGAAAAAGTTCTCCCATGACTGGAGAATCGGCCCGATACGGGCAAAAAATCATACATTGTATGCCTGCCTTTACCTCATATTTGGGCTATTGTGTTCTTTTTATGTAATCTCCACGTTGTTTGATGCTAACATCTTTGGAAAAATACTTTTGTTTCCAAAAAATAAGTACATTAGAAATGCGTAGTGATACTGAAGATGAGATAATATTGTGATGAATTGTTCATAAGATTTATGGAAACATCTGTTTAGGATTATTTCATATTATGTTATTTATTATTGTTGGTTATTCTCAAAGTATGTCTATTGCTGTTTTTTTCCTTTCAGTTTCCCTCTACTGCAACAAACATTTCTCATTGATTTACAGTGACCTGACCTATTTAAATCTGTTAACCAGTAGCCTCGGTCACTTTGATTAAGGTTTATTTTGTATCATATTTTGCTTTTTTGTAGTTGCCATTCTTGCTTGAAAAGCAATGATTTATCTGGGTCCACTTTTAGTAAAGATTTATTTGTTCAATTATTAGCTCCAGTAGCAGCTAATTGTGCTAAAATTAAACTGAAAGTAATGTAATTGGTTGAATGGGTCCTTTTTTTGCTTCACTTTTTTAGAAGCAGAGAAACCATCTGGTCTGAGCTATGATCCTCATCAAAATCTGGTCTAAAGACCGCTTTTTTTTCTTTGTCCATTTGAACCTTTTAGGTGAATTATATTATACACCAAAATAAAATATTTTACTAGGACGCAATCAAACTAATGGTAACAACATATTTAAAATCATGTGCCGTAATCTTATTGAAAGAGTGTCTAAAAGAATAAAAATAGTCATAGGATATATTGTAAAATTTTATAAATTAAAACAAAAATTGTTAGAAAAAATAAATAAAAATTCTGCAGAGCAGATGTCGTATTTTAAACGAGGAAATGGGTTGGAGTTAATGCAAGCCACAACATCTTCTGACTACCCGTTTAGTTAGAACTGAATAGAGGTTTACAAACAATGGCTCGATATGGCCTCAGGAGGTCCATACGGATGGAAGTAGAATTACAAACAGGTAATAGATTTTTTGAGGTTCGTTATTGCAACCACAAACTTTTAAATTCAAAACCGGCTTTTAATTTTTTCTTTTTTTTTGCTTTAACCGTTTTCGTTGTTTTGGAATTTTTGGTTCTTCCTTGACAGGCCTTTTTCCCCGGGGGGGGGGCTCACATTTGAGCTGACACCAAATATAATGTAGCCATCCCTTGTTTCATGAGACAGACAAAACAACTCACAAGGTATAGTTGGGAACATATGTGGATGATCAGGAAACAATGACCCAAAGATTGAGCTGAATAGAGGGAGGCCCACTTACGTATAGGTAGGTCCTGACTGCCCTATTTTTAACCTTAATTGAGCAAATAGTTTAGTGTGATAGCTCTGATTACACGTTACAGTATGCCTGCTACTTCCAAATATATTCAGGACTGAAAATAACTTTTGGACAAGAGATTAAATATCTCCAAAAAATAAGAAAGAAGTCATGTTGCCTTCAGCTAAACCATTGACCAAAATGTCATGTCCTGTCAGACCGAGCTTCTAAAGCAGCGTCAATCTGTGAATAAAACAGTGTTGAATGGTTGAAATGAAAGTGCAGAGCTTGAGTTAACTAGCAATTCAGTGGAGCCCTCTTTCAGCGGACACTGAGATATTTGCTCGCTTTCCAACTAGTTTCATGTTAATTGGAGAGAAACAGAAAACTAGGCTGAAGTTCCTGTTCTCCTGCTCTTATTAGGCGACTAATTGGAGCCATAATTAATCAGAACGCCCCAAAGAGAAATAGAAATTCTTTCATGCTCATTGTCCTGTCCTAGAAATAGTACTCCAATGTTTTTTTTTTTTATTATTCATCCCTTCGGCAGGCAGACACTTCTTTGGCCCTGATTAATTCCCAGGACTTTTTTCAATTAATTATTTCATAAAATGCAAATTTTACTTAATTGCTGTTGCTGCACAGCAGATTGTTTTAAATTGTCTTGTACTGCATCCGATGATTAAATGTTTTAATGTTGCAATGGATGCTATCACCTGATTTATTTGAGTTACATTTAATGAGGGATTAATGTAACAGTCTTTAGCTGAAGCTTTTTCACCCAAAAGCTTTGAGGACAAATACTGGATCCCATCTCTTTTACTTTCTTAAAAAACAACATTAAACCGCAACGTGTTTCAGAAAAAAAGCTTTGAGCTCCAACCAGCATATGGCAGCCGACCAGCAGCACCAAACAGCAACCTGAATCCACTGTCCTAGACAAACTGATAATAATTTGATGCTTGTGTGCTAAAAGAATTGATATTTCCTTATTTAGGAAACCAATTCCAAAGTATGACTTCACAAGATGCTCACATTCCTCATTTGAAGGAAGAAAGTTATTCTTGTAAGAGTTTTCATAAAATACAACTTTATTTTCGTAATATTAGGACTTTATTCTTGTAATTTTACAAATTTTTATTCTCTTATTTAAAAAAAAAAATATATATATATATATATATAGCCTGGTACTAATAATCCATCATACGATATAGAAGATTAAAAAGAAAAGTAGTTTTAATTTTTGTATCAAATTATTTGTCTTTTCACAGACAGAAAAGAATGAAGTTTGTTTTAAGAATCTTTAATCAAGTTAAAATCTTCCAGATTTCGCTTTTCATCGGTCAAAGGATATTGAATAAGTTATGATCTTTTTTTTACCCAAAAAAAGTTCAATTGAAAGTAATATACTTGCTGTGGTATTTGGTCATATTCACCCAGGCGGGGTGTGCTACTCACTGATTTGACAAGAAGATGTTACCCTGGATGGTGAGCCATGTAAATGCAAACACCCCCATATTAATCTGAGTAACATCATATTTGTTATTTAGAAAGAAAATGTAACTGACAAATGTTTAAGTGACAAATGGCTGTAGGAGAGTAAATTCAGACCTGACTGTGGCCCTTCACTGTGTTCATGCAGGCTCATATTAAAGTCAAAGCTGACGTAAAGCAAAACCTCGAGATTTATTTTGTGAATTTGGAAATCATTTTTTTTTTTCATAGTTAATTTGGTAAAAACTTTTCACTTGTTTTTGTTTGAGCTTTTTTTTTTTGCTCTTTTGCTGTCGTTTTTGTTTTTCATTCATTTTCACATAGTTTGTTTCCAAAATGTCAAGCCTGCAAAGCTTGAAAACACTCTCATATAACTTAAAGATTTTATTTTTTGTTATCATAAAGGTGTAATTATTTGCTTTCCTCACAATCCAGCCAGCAATCTGCCTCCTCATGTGAATGTGGGGTTTTATCCCTGACTATAAGGCTTTTCGATTTCAGTTTAGTTTACAATAGCTGACAGTTAAGTACTTATGGATTCAAACCAAACGGATTCCAAAGAAAAGACAAGACCAAGTGGGTGATTCTGTTCGTCTTTTATGTGTTTGTTTTCAGCTGGAGTACACTGCCCGGCTGGACTTCCTGTGGCGTGTCCAGGCGAAGGAGGAGATCAACGAGATGAAGGAGCTGCGAGAACACAACGAGAACATGCTGAGGAACATCCTGCCCAGCCACGTGGCCCGGCACTTCCTGGAGAAGGACCGGGACAACGAGGTCTGAACAAAACACACACACACACACACATAAAAAGAGTAAATGAATAAAACCATAAAAATGACATCAAGCAACTGGAGTTATATATTCATTTGTTTTTCCAGCACCTTTTCTGTTGGAAAACGAAAGACTTGTAACCTTGTTAAATGCATTTTATGCCCCATCCGTATTAGCCATAAATGCATATCAATTATTATTTTTATTTTTTTTGTTAAAAACTACCAATTAGTGCCGTTCAACCTTTTAAAAGTGTTTTCTACCTCATTAAAACATGGGAAGACATATGAATATTAATATTGGAACATGGCCTCTTTTTTTCCCATGCAGCACGTCTTTCAAAGCTGTGTTGTTTTGAAAGGTTAGCCTAGATTTCTTCTTCTCACAGCGTCAATGGTGATGGATGCTAAACTTTGATTAGGTCATAGCAAGAGCTTGATTTTTTTTTCTTAAATTTTGCAAAAGATTTGTTGCTCTTTGGGATCATTGTACAGGTGATGACCCAGTTTGGGCCAAGTTTCATCTTTAAGAACAATATCTTGTTATGAAAAAACAGAAAGAAAAAAAAACATCTGTCATTGTGCTTGAGAGTCAGTATGAGATGTTTTACCTTTTTTTAAGCTCTTTTGGTTTTCTCCAAACATAGTGCTTTGCATAAAAGCCAAACATATCTAGTGTTGTTCCATTTGGCCTAAAGCAGCACCTTGTTGTCTGTTTTGGTGAAGCTTTCCCATAAAGCGGTTAAAGAGAAAATATGTTTTCCAATTCAAAACTTCTGACTGTCTTCTTTCTAATTGTCTTACCATCTATTTTAATATTTAACCTCCCATCTAAGTAAGATAAGTTTGGGGTATTTGGGGTTTTTTTGGGTCATTTCCCTTTTTCGTACATGCACCAACTTGTGGGAAAAATCCCTGATTGATGGGCAACAACGCTTCTGTGAGGTCACTACTAGCCACTGAAGCTCCAGCTTTTACAGAGCTGACCGTGCAGTGAATAAATGCACCTAAAGGATTCACTGGTTTGGAAAATATGGATTGAACTCCCCGTTGCATCCCAGGTTTTCCTGTTCTGTTCTAGATAACAGATTATTTACATCAGAATATGACCCCCTCCATCCTCTAGTCGGCCTTGTGAAAGGTAGCAACAGCTGAGGTTTAATTTGTATTAATACACCGGTTACAGACCAGATGTCAAGGACTGAGAGGAGGTATACTTTATTTTTAATGTGAGTTTATTTGGAGTTTTATTATTTTAATTGGAGAACGTTAATGGCCATAGTAGTGCTTTTTTAACTTTGGTTGTTTTCACACCCCCAGGTTTAGGTCGATTTAAATTTAGATCAACCTAAATTTGATCCCATTTAGTGGGGAGTGGCGGCCTAGTGGTTAGGGCATAGAGCTTGGAATCCTGAGCTTCTGGGTTTGAGCCCCACTCCCACAGACTGCCATTCTGGGTCCCTAGGCAAGACCATTAACCCCCACACGGCTCCCTGGGTGCCGCCCAATGGTAGTCCACTGCTCCCCAAGGGGGTGGGTTAAATGCAGAGGTAAATTTCTCCAATGTGAGATCAATAAAGTTCAATTATTAAATGTTATTTGGATCATTGTGAAAGCACAATTGGACTCTAATGCTCACAAAACTAGTGCAAAATGAAGAGATGGTCTCCATTCCCCTCCATCCAAACTCTGGTGCATACAACTTGATATATGAAAACAACTGTACTCTGGTGCGACCCAACTGCCAGGCAATAGCAAAAGGGTCGAGTTAAAAGGGCTCCCCATATTTGCCTCAGTAATGTATTGTAGGTTGGCATTAAAACACTAAAGAAATATAGAAACTGAAGACAGTTTTTTTTTTTACCTTAAAACAAATATTCTTTTGATTATAATCAGGTTAAAAGACTTTATCAAGAAGGAATTTTCCAGCAGACACAGAAACAGCATCATATATAACGGTTTCAGCCAAAAGCTTTTGTTCTGTCCACCGACCAGTGCTGTGTAAAAGTGAAAGGTGAAAGCTCTCCCCTGACTCCTGACATTAAAAACATATTATTATATGTTACAGACATAAATGACCTTGTCGGTGGTCAGATGTGAATCCCATAATGTATGCTAAGAAACATTTATCTGTACCTTCTCCAGATATTTCCATTTGGCATCTCCAGTTGGTCAGTATATTATTTTGAAGCTGCAGCTGTGCTTCATTTTCAAACACTCTTTGCCAAAAGTAGTGCATGCAAACCAAATACAAAATAAATGGCCAGAGCCACTAATAACTCTCTGTATTCTAACATTTTTATCCATTTATCTCAGTTACTTTTCAGCTGCAAGGCTTCAGGAATTCAATTGGTTGTCATGGAGACACAAGTGATACTGTGTCTCCATGACACTAAATATGAGTTCTAAAGAGATGTGAATTTGGTCCCAGTTGACCAAAAGCTGGTGTGAAATCAACTTTTCTAACTGAAACAACGCAGCATAGCAGATGTGTGAAAACACCCTAAACCTTAGACTTAGACAGATTTTTTTTGTCATTTTCTATACACGAGTGTATACAAAATCAAATTTCATTTGAAACAGCTCTAGACAATTTCATTTTTTTTAAAGTGCAGCCTTAAAAATAGTAAGAAATACATAAAAATAGTAATTTAAACATATGACTGTATATTTACAGTTCTAACATTATTTTTTTATTTATTATTTTTTTTAATAAATAAAATAACCCATTTTACACAACATTCAGCTGTCTAATGGGAAGAAACTGTTCCAGAATCTGCTGGACCTGCATCGGATGCTTCAAAGTCTCTTCCCAGAGGGCAGCAGGGAGAACCGTCCATGGTGGGGGTGTGAGGGGTCATTTATGATGTTATGGGTTCGGGACATGCAGCGCTGGGATGAAATGTCTTTATGGAAGGAAGAGGAGCCCAGATGATCTTCTCTGCTGTTCTTACTACTCTTCTCACCTTCTTCCAGTCTGATGCGCTGCAGCCTCCACACCACACAGTGAGACAGCTGGTCAGAACGCTCTCTATGGTGCTTCTGTAGAAGGTGGTGAGGATGGGTGGGGGCAGGTGGGCTCTCCTCATCCTCCGCTAGAAGTACAAGCGCTTTTGTGCCCTTTAGATCAGTGAGGTGGTGTTTACATTCCAGGTGAGGGTGTCTGTGATGTGCACCCCCAGAAATTTGGTGCTGTTGACCACCTCTACAGCTGAGCTGTTGATGACTAGTGGAGTGTGTTTTGGCCTCTTCTTCCTGAAGTCCAGGATGATCTTCTTGTCTTCTCCATGTTCAGGATTAGGCTGTTATCTTTGCACAAGTCCCCACTCCCCAGCTGCTCCACCTCCTCTCTGTAGTCCAGGTCATTGTCGTCACTTATGAGGCCCACCATGGTGGTGTCATCTGCAAACTTCAAATGATTGGTGATGAAGCTGGGGACGCAGTCATATGTCATCAGGGTGAACAGCAGGGGGCTCAGGACGCAGCCCTAAGGGGAGCCTGTGCTTAGACTGGTGACATCAGAGGTGTTCTGTCCAACACGGACTGACTGAGGTCTGTTTGTGAAGAAGTCTAGCAGCCAATTACTGAGGGGTGTATTGAAGCCCAGCTGTTCCATTTTGCCCATCAGATGCTGTAGGATAATGGTTTTGAAAGCTGAACTGAAGTCCAGGAACAGCATTCGCACATGGGTGTTCTTCTCCAGGTGTGCCAGGCTCAGGTGGAGAGCAGCAGAGACAGCGTCCTCAGTGGAACGGTTTTGTCGGTAGGCAAACTGGAATGGGTAAAATGTTGACGACAGACTGGAGACAATCTGTTCTTTAACCAGCCTTTCAAAGCACTTCATTATGATTGGAGTCAGTGCGACAGGCTGGTAATCATTGAGTGAGATGAGCTGAGGCCTCTTTGGGACCTGAATAATAGTGGCAGACCTGAAGCATGCTGGCACTATGGATTGGTCCAGCGAGGTGTTAAAAATGTCTGAAGACACCAGCCAGCTGATCTGCACACTGCTTATACACCCGCCCAGGTATGTTATCAGGCCCTGGGGCCTTCCTTGGGTTGACTCTCCTAAGAGGTCTTCTCACTTCAGTTACGTCCAGGTTTAGTGCCTCCTCCCCTTGGTGTGGAATAGCTTTCACTGCTAGAGTGCTGTTTAGTGCCTCAAACCTTCTAAAGAAGTTGTTCAGTTTATTTAGGAAGTCAGTGTTTGCTGCATCTACCGGGGGGGAGGGTGTGTTGTAGTCTGTGATCATCTGAATGCTTTTCCACATCCTCCTGGTGTTGCTGTCGTCGTGGAAAAGATCCGGGATCTTCTGGCTGTGGTTCTGCTTTGCTGATCTGATGGCATGGTTTAAGTTGGAACGCGTTGTTCTCAGTGCCTCTTTATCACCAGACTTGAAAGCTGGGTTCCGTGTTTTTAGCAATTTGTAAACCTCTCCATTTATCCAGGGTGGTTGGTTGGCCCGGGTGGTGATGTTCTTTTTGAAACCTGTTGGTTTAAGAAGAGGTATAAGAATTAAGAGGTATTTTTACTGTCAGTTTATCTTAATGGGAAAATGTTAACGGCCGGAGTAGAATTTTTCAACCGTGGGATCTGAAAAAAGAAAAAAAAAAGAAACATTTATTCCTAAATCAAATGAAACATTAAGAATGGATCGCAAACGGAGGGAGCAATAATGTATGCTCTTTATTTGGCTGCTGATTTTACTAAGGAATCTGTGAACAAAGGTATCGGCTGATGCAGGTACAAGAGGAAAGGTAAACAAGTGGTTGGCAGATGTATCGATCTTCCTCGTATCATTATCATATAAGCAGTTACGCAGCAGAGGTGGATCAACGCCGAAGCAGCAGAATGTCTAAAGTCAACAGTTTGGCTCTTTTTTCCTTAAATCGGGCCATAGTCAAAGCTTTATATGAAGCAGCAACTTATCTTTAAGTTTTGCTTCCCACGTTAAAACCTTGAATTAATCTCAATTCTCTTCTCTCAGCTCATTGAACTCGCTG